AACGGGAGAGGCCACAACAGTGAGAGGCCCACGTACCGAAAAAAAAAAAAAAGACATAGTGTGAGTATCTAAGCTTGGAGAGACTTTAGCGTAATTATATGTTGAGAGGAAAGGGCCAGGGGAGAGGAAGAGGTTGATTCATTAGAGAAAGGAGTGTGATTTATGGAGCAGAGGCTTCCTCCTTGCCTTTCTGCTCCTTCTGATGAATTGCCATGCACAGGTTCTATTACTAGTCAGCAAGTATCTGTTGAGTCCCTCCTCCATGCCAGGTGCCATTCTAGGCACACCTAATTCAGTGTGGAACGAGAAAGCCATGTTCCTAGCTCTCAGAGTTTAGAGTTTGATTAGGGATGAGTACAGGTGTTGCATTGGTAATTGCAGATGCATTGACTTCTGCAGAGGATGTTGGGGGGTGTGGTGTGAAGGGGCTTGGAGGGTCATAGAGGCCTGAGGAAGTCACAGTTAAGCTGAGGCTGAAGACCGGAGACCTTGGCCAGGTGAAAGATGTCTTCTTGGCAATAAGAACGGTACATGTGAAGGTCCTGCAGTGGGAAAAGCACCATGTGATAGGGGAACTGAGAAAAGCCTAGTCTGAGGCACGGAGAGTGAGAGGGGAAGTGGTGCTGGAGAGGTGAGCAGCAGAGGCTGGACCATCTAGTACTTTATTCTGAGGATAGTGGAGAGCCTTTGGCTGAATTTGTTTTTTTTTTCTTCCCCCCGTTGAGGTAGCAAAGTGGCTGTAGAGTGGAAACATAGCAGTTTCCTTGGTGCTTTACCAGTTAAATACCAAGGATTCTTGGTGTTCATAGGGAGAATGTGTGGAGTAGTCAGAACTCTGAAGGTGTATGACATGTAGTGATGTATAACTTTGCTGAGGCATACTTTTGAGTTATGTGTTAGGAGGCTGATGTGCAGTAGCTACTCACTTAGCTAGTAAATGAGCCTTCCTGTGGGGTCAGTATCTACTACTTTATTCAGTGACATGGTAATTTCTTGTCTGTGGGTGGAGTGGTATTATATCTTATGAAGTGATGTTCCTTAGGAAGGTTTTTTTGGTTGGGTACGTGTCTTGGAATTGTTAAGGGTTTACTCTTTTGTTTTCTCATTGAGTGACAGATGCCAAGCCCATCAGTGAGGAAACATATGTAGTATTACTCAGCCCTGGCACGTTGTAGGTGTTTGCTAAAGGGTAACTTATTGTTTTAGGGAATTATTATTGTCTTGCAAAGGGGATGCAATGCAGTAACACAATACAGTGGTATTAACAGTTTGAGGAGAGAAAGATGATGGCAGGAAAAGAACAGAGTAAACAATTATTTTCGTATTTGTATGTCACTTTTTTTTTTTTGGCCACACTGCGTGGCTTGTGGGATCTTAGTTCCCCAACCAGGGAACAAACCCGGGTCCACAGCAGTGAAAGCATCAAATTCTAACCACTGGAGCTCCAGGGAATTCCCTGTATGTCACTTTATAACTTGTATTTTTACACTTATTCCCTACAGTTTCCCTATGAAATAGGTATTTTTATATTCCGATGAAGAAACTGAGTCCCAAAGACTTAGCTGAGATCACACAGCTACTACAAAGAGAGTCAGAATGTTTTCTTCCACTTGATTGGGACTCGAAATAAGAATGACCTCCTCTCCCTTTTGCACTCTTAGTAAATTTTGCATCACATTGTTGGCTTTTTTTTCTAGTCAAGGTTAGACTGAAAACTTTTTGCTTTGTTGAGGACTACTGGTGCCTTATGAATGCTGCTCTGTTATTTTGACCCCATCCCTGTCCTTTGGGGTTGAAGTTAGAGTTTCTTGGGTATATGCTACTAACTGATCGTTTTTCCTGAAGGTAAAATATGCCTTGATCAGTGCCCAGCGATGTATGATTTGCCAAGGAGATATTGCCAGGTATCGGGAGCAAGCCAATGACACGGCAAACTACGGGAAAGCACGCAGGTACTGTTGCCTCTTGTTCATTACTCCTCTTCCCTGTGTGGCTTTAATCCAAGCCCTATTAAGAGCAGTGGGCCACCTGAGCTGCCTCCTATCTATATGTCCTACAGGTGACCCTATTTGCCTCATGCTTTACCACCCCAAGTTTACAGCTTAATTAGTAAGGGCTATCAGGTGATGAATTGGGAAAGTGTTGATAGAGAACTTTTTTTTTTTTTTTTTTTTACTGTTTTTGTATTACAGCTGGTACCTGAAAGCCCAGCACATTGCTCCCAAGAATGGGCGCCCCTATAACCAGTTGGCTCTGCTGGCAGTGTATACGGTAAGAAATCTTGGATGGGGAAGTATTTTGCAGGCAGTGTGTTAGAAATATGAATTTTGATAGCATCAGCTCCTGGGGCTAGATTTCATCTGAACACTATAACCCCAAGCATATCCCCTTCTGCCTCCCATCCTCAAACTCCTTTTGTTACTGTTACTTTCAGAGGTAAGTTGTCAGGGATCCCTCACTTCAGTTAAATCCACTTTTACTGCACTTAAGTTCCTAGGGGAGTGCTTATTCTCCAGCCAAACATCACTCTTTGTTTTTGACCAAGGTTTCTGCTCTGAATCTTGTATTGTTTCCCTTCCCTAGGTTGAACTAGGTTACTCATTTCTGGAAGGAAAATAAGGCTCCCTTTCTCTCTCTCCTTTAAAGTCCTCAACTAGTCTGAAGTACATCCTTCCTTCCTTTCCTCAGATCATCCCCTCATTCATCTTAGCTTTTCACCTAAGGAGTCTCCTTAGCAGAAGCACAGTAAGTGCCAAGTTGTACCTCTTTAGATCTTACCAGACTCCTCTAAATGTGCCTCTAAAGGTGAGCCTTGGGAGCGGACAGAGCTCCTAGTGAGGAAGCTGACTTCAAGGGAGAGGGGGAGGGGCCACTGGTGAGTACCACAGGTTTAAGAAGCAGCTAACGTGCTCATTAGCAGGGAGAGTTTTCTTAATGCTGTAAAATTCATTGCCCAAATAAACAGTGTTTGAATTGATATTTTTATTCTACAAAGATTCAAAAATATTCCTAATACTTATTTATGGATGGAAATTGTTGATTAAGTAATGTGGTTTACAGATACACTTCCTGCAGAATCTATTGAATCTTTCTGTCTCTCTGCTTTTTACCTCTGTCCTATTCTTTGTGATATGCGTTGAGAGTTTTTTTTCACCCCTCTTTGTGGCTTTATTTTTCTCTCCCCTTTATTCTTATCCATCTTCTGTTTTCCTTTCTCACTCATTTCTTGTCTCCTTTCCCAGTTTTTCTTCTTTGTAATAATCTAATGACTTGTTTTTTTTCTTGTTAACTAGAAAATATAATTAAAAAAAATTTTCCCCTCAATGGCTTTTAATAAAAATTGTGGTAAAATTCATGTAACAAAAGTAACCATTAATTATGGTCCGTACCTAGGAATGGAATTGCTGGGTCATATGGTAATTCTATGTTTAACTTTCTGGGAAGCTGCCAAACTGTTTTTCATAGTGGCTGCACCATTTTACATTTCCTCCAGCAGTGTAGGAGAGTTCTAGTTTCTTCATGTTCATGCTAACATTTGTTACTTTTCATTTTTTTGATTATGACCAACTTAGTGGGTATGAAGTGATACCTCATTGTGGGTTTTTTCTTCTTTAATATTCTTTTTCTTTTTTGGTCAGTTTTAGGTTTACAGAAAATTGAGCAGAAAGTGCAGAGTTCCCATATACTTCCTCAGCTCTCAGTTTTCCCTATTATGAATATCTTGCATTAGTGTAGTACATTTGTTACAGTTGATGAGCCAGTATAGATACATTATTATATTACTAAAGTCCATAGCTTACACTAAGGTTCACTTTTACTGTTGCACACTCTGAATTTGAACAAACGTATAATAACATGTATCCACCATTATATTATCATGCAGAATATTTTCACTGCTCTAAAAATATCCTGTGCTCCACCCTGCACCTCTTTATCCTCCTTCCTTCCCCCAAACCTTTGGCAATCACTGATGTTTTTACTGTCTCTATAGTGTTGTCTTTTCCAGAATGTCATATAGTTGGAACCATACAGTATGTAGTCTTTTCATATTGGCTTCTTTCACTTAGCATTTAGGGTTATTTTTGTGAATTGATAGCTCTTTTCTTTTTATTGTTGAGTAATATTCCATTGTATGGATGTACCACAGTTTATCTATTCCCCTATTGAAGGACATCTTGGTTGTTTCCAAATTTTGACTGTTATTAATAAAAGTGCTATAAACGTTTGTGTGCATGATTTTGTGTGGACATAAGCTTTCATCTCATTTGGGTAGATACTTAGGAGTGTGATTGCTGGGTTGTGTGGTTAGAGTATATATAGTTTTGGAAGAAACTGTCAAACTGTCTTCCATAGTGGCTGTACCATTTTGCATTCCTACCAGCAGTGGATGAGAGTTCTTATTGCTGTGCATCCTCGTCAGCATTTGGTGTTGTCAGTGGTCTGGATTTTCCTCATTCTAATAGGTGTGCAAAATCCTATTTGTGTTAAACTTCGTTTTAACTTGCAATTCCCTAATGACATACAATGTAAAGCATCTTTTAATATGCTAATTTCCCATCTGTGTATTTTTGGTGATGTGTCTGTTTAGATCTTTTGCCCATTTTTAAATTGGGTTGTTTGTTTTCTTATTGAGTCTTAAGAGTTCATTTTATGTTTTGGATACCAGTCCTTTATCAGACATGTGTTTTACAAATATTTTCTCTCAGTCTGTGGCTTTCTTTTCATTTTCTTAGTGTTTTTCACAGAGCAGAAGTTTTTAAGGTTAATGAAATCTAACTTAGCCAACTTTTTCTTTCATGGGTTGTGCTTTTGGTGTCGTATCTAAGAAGGCATGACTAAACCCAGGTTACCTAGATTTTCTCCTATGTTATCTTCTAGGAGTTGTAGAGTTTTGCATTTTACATTTAAGTCTACGGTACATTTTGAGTTAATTTTTGTGGCAGGTGTAAGGTCTGTGTATAGATTCTTGGTTTTGCATGTGGATGTCCAGTTGTTTTCAACACTATTTGTTGAAAAGACTATCCTTTCTCCATTGAATTGTCTTTGCTCCTTTGTCAGAGATCGACTGACTGTATTTGTGAGGGTCTATTTCTGGGCTCTGTATTCTGTTCCATTGATCTATTTGTCTGTTCTTTGGCCAGTACCACACTGTCTTGATTACGGTAGCTTTATAGCAAATCTTGAAGTCAGGTAGTGTCAGTCTTCCAACTTTTTTTTTTTTCTTCCAGCTTTTTTCTTTTCCTTCAATGTTGTGTAGGCTATCCTGGATGTTTTGCCTTTCCTTATAAACTTTTGAATCAGTTTGTTGACATCTACAGATGTAGTGAGTGTGAAGTGGTATGTCATTGTGGTTTTGATTTGCATTTCCCTAATGACTAATGATATTGAACATCTTTTCATGCTTATTTGGATGTTTGGAAAAATGTCTATTCAAGTCCTTTACCCATTTTTTTAAAAATTAAGAAAATTAAAAAAAATTTTTCTTAATTGTAAAATACACATAAAACCAAATTTGCCATCTTACCCATTTTTTAAAATTTAATTAATTAATTTATTTTTGGCTGCGTTGGATCTTCATTGCTGCATGCGGGCTTTCTCTAGTTGTGGAGAGCGGCTCTACTCTTCGTTGCGGTGCGCGGGCTTCTCATTGCAGTGGCTTCTCTTGTTGCAGAGCATGGGCTCTAGGCACGTGGGCTTCAGTAGTTGTGGCACTCAGGCTCAGTAGTTGTGGCTTGCGGGCTCTAGAGCGCAGACCTAGTAGTTGTGGCGCACGGGCTTAGTTGCTCCACAGCATGTGGGATCTTCCCGGACCAGGGCTTGAACGCATGTCCCCTGCATTAGCAGGCGGATTCTTAACCACTGTACCACCAGGGAATTCCCATCTTACCCATTTTTTTTTTTTTTTTTTTTTTTTTG